CATGTTTTTGTACATTCTTTTTGTCTAGCCGAAGGAGAGTTGTACCCCAGAGTTTTAATACAATTGAGACCGGGTTTTTTTTATTTTGTTTTTTTCAATATGGGGGCATTTTTCTGAAAATGTGTTCTTTCAAAATATTATTTCTTTGTTTCTATTTTTATTGGAAGTTCATAATTTGCACGTATAATTTCAATTTTCTTGCCTATAATATGCATAGTTTTCAAAGTCGCTAATGCCATACATATTGAGGTAGAAGGCCTAAAAGTTAGTGTATTTGTTGCGCCTGTTCTAAAGTTATGAATTTTTTATGTATTTTTTTAATTCATAAAGGACATAATAATTGCATGCAGTTGACTTAAACTTTGGCGTACTATATGAAACAGGAACCATTTTTGGCCTTCCACCCTTTGCCTTCCTTCCACAGGACCGCAAAGGTGGCAACTAATTCAGTCCACGGTAGGAGCGGGGCCGTCGCGCAATCTCGAAACATTTTTTTTTCCTCAGAGTGACAACGCGTTTTTGAAAAAAAAACAGTTCAGTTTCGTACGATTCATTTCTGTTTAAATCACATATAAAAAACCAGAAAAAATAAAAATGTTGAGTTGACCTGCAGGTTCGATCTCTCGTGGAATCACCCAGTGGAACATTTGGTCTGGGATGGAATAGCAGGGTGGCGTCAGCTAGTGCTTGTTTGGCATAGTGAAATTCCGCTGTGGTTTGGGAGGGCCACTGCAGTGCCGTGGAAGGTGCTCGCGCACCTCTGAGAAGGTCAGTTAGCAGTTTTACTATCTCAGCGTAGTTAGGAATGAAACGCCTGTAGAAATTTATTAAACCAAGAAATTCTCGAAGTTTACGAATGGAGCTTGGCTTGGGAAAATTTTGAATGGCGTTGACTTTCATTTCGAGGAGTCGAAGTCCGTGCTGGTCTAGGCAGAGACCGAAAAAACTGATTTCGGTCACAGCGAATTCGCACTTGTTCTGACTGATTATGAGTCTATATTCATCGAGGCGGTGGAACAGAAGTTTAAGATGTTTCAGGTTTTCTTGTTGGTCTATGCTGAAAATGAGAAGGTAATCGAGGTACGCGTAACAAAAATGAAGATCTCAAGTCACTTGATCTACAAAGCATTGAAACGTGTGGGCTGGGTTACGCCAGCCGAATGGCATTCTCACATATTCGAAAAGACTGAACGGAGTAGCAATAGTTCTCTTGGGGATGTCAGGAGGGGGTGTGTCGGTATCTGGTGATATGCTTTAACTATATAAGTTTTGGAGAAGATTTTGGAGCCTGAAGAGACGAGGTCAAATCGTCGATGCAAGTAAGCGGGTAACAATCCGGTACCCTTGCTTGGGAGAAGAGTGTGTTGGTTCAAGGATGAATGAAGAACGAATAAACAATTAACACTGGGACAACACAACCAGATCTTTTGAAAGAGCTGGTTGTGTTGTCCCAGTGTTAATTGTTTATTCTTTCTTCATTCATCATAATCTGGTACTGTGAGTACCAGATTGTGTCGCCAGTCTCCGGTTTTCTTCTTTCGGACCATGTGTAGGGACGAGGCCCAAGAACTTGACGATGGACGTACGATTTTCATTTCAAGCATATGTGCCGATTATTGTTCTGCAACCTTCATGCGGTCGGGGTTCATGCAACGTGGGCGGGCAGAAACAGGTTGTCTGGTTGTTACGATGCGATGGATTACATCATGTTTGATTGGATGTTGGGAATTGTGCAGCCATATCAACGCCGGAAAATCTTGAAGTAATGTTTCGTATACAGACTGCACGTAGGCACTCTCTAGGGAGCGCGTCGAATGCTGTGAGAGCGATGCCTTGGACCATGATGTCCGTTGTAGAGTCTACTAGACGTTTGGTTAGCATGTCAACGAGCAGGTTGAAATGCCGAGGAAAGTCAACGCCCAATATTGGTATGTAACATCAGCAACTAGGAACATCCAAACGAACATCCCTCGTAGTCCGATGTTGATGGTCAACACTCGCTCACCGTAAGTCGCGATGGGTGTTTTATTTGCAGCTTGTAGCGACAAATCTGGTTGCTTGGGCCGGAGTGGAAATGCAGATACTGGCAAAACGCTGATTTCAGCCCCGGTGTCTACTAAAAAACGCTTACCGGGATCCCGATTTGTGACAAAAAATAAGCGGCCCGCATTCGTTCCAACACTACTTGCGGCTTCTAGTGGTGGCGGTTGGAATTTTCCGCCGCGGCGCTGGGTAGAGAGAAGTTTCGGCTTGATTGGCGAATGTTCGGCGGTACCAGCACACTCTAGGATGCGGTGAATATGATCGTTGACGAAGATTGGTGCTGTGAATGCGTCTTCGCGACGGCGAGCAAGAGCGCAGCGAGATTGCTGATATATCGTTTCTCAGGTCCACCACCTGTCTACAGAATATGTCTCGAAGTTCGTTGAGCTCCGAGGAGTGACTGGAAGCTGCTGACTCCATAACCGGTATTCAGGGTTCTTCCGTCTTGGAGCTGTGCTACCGTTGGTGTAGACCACACCCACGACGGAATCGAGCCAGAGACTGCACTCTACCCTGACGTTCCCAAGTCCAATATCTTGGAAGACGCAGGTACACCGTTGAGAGATCGGCTGAGGCGGAGATTCCGTAGTTGGCCATGATGGTCGGTTGAAGGTGAAACGATTCTACTGGGGTCACCACATATAAGTTATTTAATACACACAAAACGGGAAGGAGCCCGCCACCGTCGACCGTTAGCACCGACCCGATTAGCATCGAATTCCTTGCGCTTTTTTGTCTTTGTTGGTTGCTATAAAACCATATATGTTTATTTTCACTAACTAAAAAGGTGATTAATAATGTGTAGTTATTTATTCCACTTATCGCCAGGATTATCACCCCCCCCCTTTTTTTTTCTGACCGTATAACGCACCTGAAAGACTGCATTAGGGCATATTTTACGGAATTTCGTAATAAATCTTCACGAATTAAAATCGAACAACCTGTATATTCCTGCCAAGTTGAAATTCTAAAACTTCACTTATCGATTTGAATTTCCTATGGCGTATACACCCACCAATGCAAATTCCGTAATTGGTGACGCAAATGTCCCAGAACGTTTTACCCTCACTGTTTGCGAACATTACAACAACCGAGGCAGCACGCCGACACTTGGCCAGCGTCGGGGGAATATTGCGCACAATATTGGCCCCGTTTCATGTTTCGCATCACGGTCCAGTATTTGGCCAACATCGGTTAATGATCGTTCTTAAATGGGCCAGAATCGGCGATATCATTCGATCAAAATAATCCCTGGAGAAGGGCAACAAGAGGGACAAGGGACAAACATAAATCTCCAAACACAGCTAGGTGACTGGTGTGCGACCGAAAAAATCCGCCTGGTCCGGGATCGAACCCGGGACCTCTCCATTACAAGTGGAGCGCTCTACCAACTGAGCTAACCAGGGGTTAGACGTCAGTAGAGCAAACGGGTTTTATCAGCTGCCACTAGTCTAACACCAACAAGGGTGAAGCTTGCAATTTAATGTTATAATTATAATGCAATTAAATGCAAAGGGGCAAGCGAGCTGGACAATAATGATGAAAATAATCCCTGGAGAAGGGGAACAAGAGGGACAAGGGACAAACATAAATCTCCAAACACAACTAGGTGACTAGTCCCTCTTGTTCCCCTTCTCCAGGGATTATTTTCATCATTTTTGTCCAGCTCGCTTGCCCCTTTGCATGTAATTGCATTATAATCATTCGATCTCTGGGCAGAGATGGGTGAACATCGGTGAACATGGCCGCGGCCGCTGCGGTTTCAGCGCTCAGCGGACTTGGGCCAAGCCAACGTTACAATAGAATTAACCGATCAGTTGGAAAACTGCCATAGAGCCTGTTCTGAAAAAGTGACACCGATCCGCACTTGTGAACCGAAAACATAGCGATCTCAACGCCGCCAGTTCTCCCGCACAGGCCACTCGAGGAGCTGCACTTGACTTCTATTTTGGCTTTAATCGGCAATGTTGGCTCCGAAACAGAAACGGTGGAAGGGGCTTCAAGGAAGCCACCCCCGACTCCCAAGCGGACGCGCCGCGAATTACTGCCGAAGTTAGGATGCACCTAGGTCGGGACCCGCAACCTGAAATCCCCGCAGACATATGGTTATCTAAAAACAATATTAATTGTGCCGCGAACATTGTAAACTATTCATTTTATAAAACATCACGCGCCCCCCGTTTTTTACTAATCTCCAATGAAAGATAGTACAAAAAGAGTTTTTTTCCGTTTGTTTGTACGGAAAAACCCAGTTCCAGCCGTTGATTGCCCGGCGGCCCGTGGCAACAGCGGCGGCCGCCGCGATTGGCCGCCGCGATTGACCGCGTGTCAGTATTGTTTTAGAAACGGTCAAGAATTTCTAGTACCGGCCGATATAGCCGGTTCAGACCCGACAAATTACCGGAAAACGGCGCTCGATTCTGTATATCAGCGTGGCGTTGGCCGACCCAAGTGATGTTCCCCTGACATCGGCCACATCATGGTAATACTTGGCCCATCATTACGATCCGGCGGCAATACCGGCAGTATCAGAATGATATTGGCCCGATTTCTCCGACTCGACGCCAATATTGGCGCACTACTGTGTGCTGCCTGGGAACTTCTTTAAAGAAAAAAAAGAGGAAACTAACAATAACGTGCTTTTTGTGAGAAAGCGGCTCCTCCTAGTTCCAAAAATAAACTTGATATTGAATTGTATTGAAACGCAATCGAACGGTATTAGCCTCTAATGTGTTCATCGTTTTCCCAAGCCCTCGTATTATTTTACAGATGGCTCTATCCTGAGAGAGAACCACATGGCTTTAAAATTGTTATTGCCTAATTATATCCGCGCGTCGTTATTGGTCAATATCATTTTATTAACGTTGATTTTTCCTGTCGACCAAAAATCAAAAGCCACATTTAAATATACGTTCATGAAAAAAGTGTAAGGTTTCACGCAAGATCTTTTCACTCACTTGTATCATTATAAACCCCTATGAGGCCTTCGCAGTTTTCAACTTTCCTGGTAGTAGGATCATTGTAACTAAAATACAAAAAAAGAAGCAATTATGACTGGTTCAATTAAGTAAACTGCATTTATTCGATCTAGATCAAGTTCATTTTATTTAAACCAAATCAATATGATTTAAATCATAGTAGCTAGAATATATTAAATATTTATCAGTACTTTAGATGTATGTTAAAATGTACCAGCTTGAATCATCAAACTGTCTGATCGCTTGCAACAAGACGGAAGAAAACTTGCTGGGTAATTTCTTCGCGAATCGTGCAAAAAATAAATAACTCTGTTCTCAAAATTTCTTACTGGTAGAGAATGGGTGACTACAGTTACATTGGACTACATTGACTACATTGGAGCTGTGGAAATGGCTCGTTCTCGAGTTTTGGGCTTATTTTCGAAGCCCAAAACTCAAGAAAGAGCCATTTCCACAGCTCTAATTTCCAGTATTGCTGTCCAATCAAAATTTGATTTGACAGCAACACAGGGAATCGGAGCTGTGGGAATGGCTCGTTCTTGAGTTTTGGGCTTCGAAAGTAAGGAAGGTAGAGGTCTTGCGATTTTTGAAGCTTTCACGAGTCACCCACTTTGAAGTTTCGCGCTTAGGTCCTTTTTTTAAAACAATTATGATATTTACGCTGTCTAAATCTACTTATGAAAGGGTTAAAGCTATTTAAAAGTGCGATTTGTATTTAATTTTATGAAATACACATGTTTCAATTGTATTCCTTTGACAATAACGGGCAAGTTTAATTCGAGCTAGTTTTCGATGTTCAATTATATGAGGCATAAGAAATATATCAAATGAAAACATATATCTACGTTTATTTCCGTATTATGATATTTTAATGTAAGTATAGTTTATACATTATTGACAACACTGTAAACTTGAGAAAAAACTACAAGTGCAAAATTTAACGCACTGTAAATATATATATTGTCACGGGTGGTGACCAAAAAACAATAATATAAACAGGAAGAAATAAACGTTTAACGTGGCGAACTTGTGCCAAAAATAAAAATGTACAAAAGATAATAGCAGAGCGTCACGGGCGTCGAAGTCGGCGTAGCAGCAGAGTCGAACGCTGGTGCGAAACTGACTCCGCTCGCCTTGCGGAATCCCTTATGTACCCTCGTGGGTTTCTGGATCGTTCGGCGTAGAAGGTTCGGCGCGTAGAACATTCAACCTCGAATCAGCAAGACGGTTCTCGAATTCACCAAAACATTAAATTACACTGTCAACAAAAATGTGCAGTCGCGGCCAGGAATCGAACCCTGGCCTTCTGCGTGAGAGGCAAGCGCGATAACCGTTAAGCCACGCGCGCGCTGCCTACTTGGCCAGCTGCGCGCGCGGCATTATTCCCCCCTTTAAAAAGTGCATCGTCCCGATGCAACCCAAAAACAAAACGAAGCAAATAAAATAGACCGGTAAACTAAAGAGTCGTTTGTAACACATAAGGTACACAGTCCTATCGAGCGTAGTACGGCTTCAGTCGCACGACGTGGACGACTTCCGGTCGTGGAGGGCGGCGTGACGAAGTCCGTGTTCCGTCGGGCATTACCTCGTAGTTAAGATCCCCGAGTCGACGAAGCACTTTGTAAGGTCCAAAGTAACGTTTCAGGAGTTTCTCGCTGAGACCGCGGCGGCGAATCGGTGTCCACACCCACACCCTGTCTCCGGGCTTGAAGTGGACGTCCCGACGACGAAGGTTGTAGCGGCCAGTGTCGACGCGTTGTTGAGCCTTAATCCGGAGTCTGGCGAGCTGACGGACTTCTTCTGCCCTTTGGGCAACCACCTGGACGTCGTCGCTTGCGTCGACAGCCGGTTCGTGGGGTAACATAGCGTCCAGCATTGTCGTTACCTTGCGCCCATGCACCAGTTGAAAGGGTGTCACTCCGGTGGTCTCTTGTGCGGCCGTGTTGTAGGCAAATGTGACGTACGGCAGCACCTCGTCCCATGTCTTGTGTTCCACATCGACGTACATGGAGATCATGTCGGCGATGGTCTTGTTGAGTCTCTCCGTTAGTCCGTTGGTCTGCGGGTGGTACGGCGTGGTGCGGCGATGGCTGGTGTAGCTGAGACGAAGGGCCTCTTGCGTCAGCTGGGCTATGAATGATGTTCCACGGTCTGAGATCAGGACTTCGGGAGCGCCGTGCCGGAGGACGATGGACTCGATGAAAAACTTCGCGACTTCAACAGCCGTTCCTGATGGAAGGGTTTTTGTCTCGGCGTACCGCGTGAAATAATCGGTTGCGACGATGATCCATCGGTTCCCTTGCGTCGACGGTGGGAAAAATCCGAGTAAATTCATACCGATTTGCTGGAATGGGGCAGATGGCGGCGCAATAGGCTGAAGAAGTCCTGCCGGTCTCGTCGGCGGCTTCTTCCGTCGTTGACACTCGTGGCAAGATCGGGTGTAGTGGTGCACTGTCTTCGCAAGCTTGGGCCAGTAGTACTTTTCGCGTATCCTGGCAAGAGTCCTGCTGTAACCAAAGTGTCCGGCCGTCGGGTCATCGTGGCAGGCTTGAAAAATTTATTCTTGAAGACTGGAAGGGACCACCAACAGCCACGCCGTGCTGTTGTCGCTGAAGTTCTCCTTGTAGAGCACACCTTGTCGGAGGAAGAAGGTTGGCAGTGTTTGTACAAAACCATGGGGAACGGCGCTTCCTTGTCCCTCTAGGTGCTCAATGAGCGCTCGCAGCTCAGGGTCGTCTCGTTGGAGTGCTACCACGTCGCTGACATCCAGAGCGCCGAGGAAACACTCATCGTCGTCCTCTTTGGTGCAGGAAGGACCGGCCTCGACTGGGGCCCTCGACAGGCAGTCGGCGTCATTGTGCTTCCGGCCGGACTTGTACACCACGGTCATGTCGAACTGCTGCAGACGTAGGCTCCACCGGGCGAGGCGTCCGGAGGGGTCCTTCAGATTCGCCAGCCAGCAGAGCGAGTGGTGGTCTGTGACCACGCGAAAAGGACTTCCATAAAATATGGGCGAAACTTTGTTAGTGCCCAGACGACAGCGAGGTACTCCTTTCCAGTAGTTGAATAGTTCCTCTCCGCGTTAGACAGCGTCCGACTTGCTTCTGCGATGACGCGCTCTGCGCCGTCCTGCATTTGGACTAGTACCGCACCCAGTCCGGTGTTACTGGCGTCGGTGTGGATTTCGGTTTCCGCATCTTGATCGAAATGTCCTAGAACAGGAGGAGTCTGCAGTCGTCGTGTCGGCTCGTCGAATGCCTTCTGCTGCTCCTCGCCCATCCGAACTTCTCGGCGTCCTTTGAGAGGTTTGTGAGCGGTGTGGAAATCCCTGCGAAATCCCGGATGAAGCGCCGATAGTACGCACATAATCAAAGGAACTATGTCCGAGAAGAAGTGCATCGAACGCTCCAACTAGAGGTTCCCGTCACCACGGCGGCACCGTATACGGGTGAGCAGGGGGTGGTGGTCGTCGGGTAGCTGAGGCGTAGCTCAGCTTCCGTGGTTCAGGAGCGGCGCTGGTGAGAACTTCTGGCTGCAGCGCCTGCTGAAGTTCTTGCCGGACAATCTCGGCGACTGAGGGCGTAGCCGGGCTTGTGGCAGCAGGTAGCAGCTTCCTGATTTCCTCCCGCACGACGTCCCGGATAATCTCGCGGAGGTCCGGGCTGTTGCAGCTGGAAGTCGAGAGGGCCGCGACGCCGGGATGTCACTGGTAATGGGAGGCCCGTGCTTGAAGGGCACGTGCAATGTTTGTTGCCTCCGTGATGAATCCTTCGACTGTGGTCGGCGGGGCTCCCACAAGGCCGCTGAAGATGTTTTTCTTTGACGCCTCGCATCAGGATTCTCAGCTTCTTCGCTTCGGAGGTTTGAGGGTCGGCGCGGTTGCTGAGTCGCAGGACATCCTCTATGAATCTGACGACGCTCTCGTTAGGGCCTTCGATCCTCGCTTGAAGAAGCTCTTCCGCGCGTTCTCTTCGTTGTTGGTTCGTGAATGTTCTGTGCAACTCAGCCTTGAGTTGCTCCCAGGAAGTGATCGAAGCTTTGTGGTTCTCGAACCAGTTTCGGGCGGTTGCTTCCAAGGCAAAGTACGCATTCTGTAGACACTGTTCCGGTGTCCACCCGTTATGACGGGCCACTCGTTCGTACTGTTGGACCCAGTCGTAGATGTCTTCGTGGCTTTCGCCGTGGAAGGGAGCCGGTGTCCGAGGAGCGACGGGTGGGTAGACGACGGCAGGAGCGGCGGGGGTCTGCGACTGCTTGGCCATCGTCGTCTTCTTCGGCTTGGGCTTGTCCAGCAGCAAACCGTACTCACGATCCTCTCCCTTGGTGCGGCGGCAACTCGAACGCTCCACTTTCTTGAGAGCACCGCTTCTTCTTTCTGTTCAGTTTGTTGCATGACGATTATTTGTTTTATGCGGATGGTAAACATACATCTAGAAAGCATTATATAAGATAGACGATCGGTAACTAAAAAAAAAGAACAGATTCGAGTTCAGTTTTCGGGAAATGTTTCTTTTAAATTATATAAGAAAACCGTCTGATTTAAATCGCGCCTTTAATCATAAGTCAAATCACGATTCAATTATATACTGAATTTTATTTCCCAGCTTTCGCGAATATGGAAATATGCTTTCTGTAAGTTATCCAAAATAATTATATTTTATATGGCCATTATTTTAATGTATCAGGTTATAACACCCGCTTAGACAGGAAGGCCGTTTAAGTAATTTGCTATCAGCTAAAATAAGAAAGAGGAGTGAAGGAAAATAATGCACTGTATATATGACTTTATTAAATTTGGCATTCATATATTCAAATTACCTTACTCGCCTGTGTATATTCCTCTAAAATATGACATTGTGTACTTTGCGCGTATCGGCATGCCACCACATCAAGTAGGAATTTAAAAAAAATTATAAGAAAGTAGGGCGGTTTCAGGTAAGATTGAAGAACCTTGTCCGGTAACCGCTTTTAATTTTGATGAAAAAAAATTTTGCTGGCTCCATGCTCCAAAAAATAAAAACCAATGCTTGTTTAAGAAAACAGAAAT